GAGACAGGGAGATAACGAGTCATGGTACGTGATGAGGTATCAGTGGGCTCTTGTGACGAGCGGGGTTCCAAAGGGGTCAGTCATAGGACCTGTGCTGTTTTTGGTATATGTGAATGACATGACAGAAAGGATAGTCTGAGAAGTGTCCCTACTGCAAAGAGACCTCGACAGGCTGCAAGCTTGGTCGAACAACTGACTCCTCGAACTTAACCCCGCCAAATGCAGAGTCATGAAGATCGGGGAAGGGCAAAGACCGCAGGCACAGTATAGGAGTCTAGGTGGCCAAAGACTGCACACTTCACTCAAGAAAAAGGATCTTGGGTTGAGTATAAATACCGAGCACATCTCCTGAGGCGTACATCAACCAGATAACTGCTGCACCATACGGACGCCTGGCAAACCTAAGAATAACGTTCCGATACCTCAGTAAGGACTCACACTTCCTCAGCTGGTCAAACACGTCAAGAAATTAGAGAAATGCAAAAGGTTGCAACAAGACTAGTCCCAGAGATAAGGGGATTGTCTTACGAAGAAAGGTTAAGGGAAATCTGCTTGACGACACTGGAGGAGACATGATAACGACATATAAAATACAGCGATAATTTGACAAGGTGGACAAAGATAGGATGCTCCAGAGATGAGACGCAGAAACAAGGGGTCACAATTGAAAGCTGAAGACTCAGATGAGTCAAAGGGATGTTGGGAAATATTTCACTCATAGAGTTGCCACGAAGTGGAATTGTCTGGAAAGTGATGTCGTGGAGGCAGGGATCATACATGTTTTAAGATGTAAAGTAAAAGGACACAAGTGCAACTAATGTGACATTTTATTGTGGCAACGTTTCGCTCTCCAGGAGCTTTATCAAGCCATTACAAACAATACATGGACACAGAGGGTATATAAAGGCTCAGAGTGAGGTGCAGTACTAGTGAGGTACCATTTCGATGTTCACTAGTGGTAGTAGTAGTAGTAGTAGTAGTGACAAAAGTAATACAATATGGTAGAGCAATTAATTCGTACATGAGTAAAACGATATAAAAGCTATTACTTGGGTAACATAAAAATAGGTTGGACAAATAAAGACTGGAAAGAGGCAGCCTGTTTCAGTGTTCACTCTCTGCAATGTGCTGTATAACAGGAGAGACTATGTGATGGCAGGGTTTACTGTTTTCAGGAGGATTCTTGCTAAGACTTCGGAGATGGTGAAGCTGCCGTTGTTTTGTTTAATTGTATTCGAAACAGCGATCAGTGCTGATTCGAGGCACTTGCGTCTGCGTAAATTAGTTTCTTTGATCACTAATTGGGCGTCCCTGAATTTCATGAGATGATTGGAGGAATTTCGGTGTTGTACACAGGCGTTGTTCAAGTTATCGTTCCTACATGCGTAAATGTGTTCATTGAGGCGGGTGTCGAGGTTTCTTGCTGTTTCACCTACGTAAATCTTGTCACAGCCTCCACAGGGTATAGTGTAAACTCCTGCATTGACTGGTTCGTGGTGCTTGGATTTTGTCCTGGTTAGATCCTTATTTGAAGTGCTAGAAGCGATGGCGACTCTGGTGTTTGCTTGTCAAAGTACTTTTGAGACGTTCAGTGCAACCTGGCTCTTGGGAAGAATTATAACTTTGTTGGGAGTGGTGTTTATGCGTGGAGAATTAATGATCTGAAGAGCTCTTTTCTTGCAGTCTTTGATGAAAAAAGAAGGAAAATGTAACTCAGTGAATGTTTGGTGAATGTATGTACATTCCTCGTCAAGAAACTCAGGACTACAAATTCGGTATGCTCTTAGGAAAAAACCGATGATGATGCATCTTTTGGTCTTGGTATTTTGACTGGAATAGAAGTGTGTGAGATCATTTTTATTGGTGGGTTTCCGATAAACTTGAAATCTTAGGTTGTTGTCTACTTTGTGAATGAGGACGTCGAGGAAAGGTAGCTTGCCATTGGACTCTTCTTCCAGTGTAAACTGGATCGCCGGTTCAACTGCGTTGAGCCTTGCCTGAAGATCCCGTACATCAAAACGTTTGGGAGTTATTACGAGGACATCGTCCACGTAACGTAACCAAGTGACGCTTGAAGGGATGATGTTGGCGAAGTGTTCGGACTCTAGGTGTTCCAAGTATAAGTTGGCTAGGACGGCACTGATGGGGGACCCCCATTCCCATGCCGTAGGTTTGTTTGTAGAGCTTGTTATTAAAAGAAAAACAGTTGAAATTAACACAGAGTTCAATCAAGTCAACAAAATCTCCGGGTGGTAGAGGAAGATTTAGGTCCTGATTGACTTTATGTCGTAGAACCTCGATGGCTTTTTTGGTAGGTACTTTTGTGAAGAGGGAAGTCACATCCAAACTGCTTAGTTTCTTGTTACGGATGGAGAGGTTACGAATGCGGTTGAGAAGGTCGCCTGAGTGTTTAAGATGAGCGGGGCTGATGGTCCCCAGAAGGCAGGAAAGATGTTTGGCAAGAACTCCGGCTAGTTTGTGTGGAGCACTGCCTATTCCTGACGTGATTGGTCTGAGAGGAATATTGTGTTTATGGGTCTTGGGTAAACCATACATGTGTGCTGGTTTAGGGTTGCTTGGTAACAAGTGCAGAAGTTTCTTCCCTTCTCTAGTGCGTTTGAGTATTTGTCTGGTTTTGTATAGAAAATCTTTGGTGAGCGTCTCCTACTGTTGAGTACTGATGGGTTCGTATGTAGATTGATCTTTCAAAAGGTCCATCATTTTAGTGTTGTAGTCACTGGTGTTGAGTATGACGACTCCACCTCCTTTGTCGGCAGTGGTGACGATAATGTTGGGGTCGTTGGCGAGGTTCTTAAGGGCAGTGATGTATCGTCTAGGAAGATTAGAAGAGGAAGGTTCACATAAAGCTGCACTGAGAAGGCCCTGTACATAACCCTTCTGGAAGTTGCTGTCACTGTGTTTATGGTTCCTGGTAACTAGATTGAGTTGATAGTTAGGTTTGCGTATGTTGGTGGTAAATTTGAGTCCCAGACTCAGTGCTTGTTTTTCGAAGTCTGTTAAGGTGCGTGACGGTAGGTTGTTTATCAGGGATTCGCGTCCCATTTCCTTCCATCGACTGTTAGTGCAGAGGTACTGAAGTTTGCGATTGAGTTTGATCTTCTGTTGGAGGTTAGCTGTGGTGACTGTGCTGAGAATATGCCAGCAGTGTGTTGGTCAATCTGAAGATTGGCCCTCATATTCCTTGCAGTTTCAAAGGTTTCCTTAGCGATGTTAGAAAGTTCTTCGGCACATTCAGTTAAGTAAGCTTGGGTAGCTGGAGAGAAGGGGTGCTTGGAGTTGGAGAGTCTAACTCCCAAACGTTTTGATGTACGGGATCTTCAGGCAAGGCTCAACGCAGTTGAACCGGCGATCCAGTTTACACTAGAAGAAGAGTCCAATGACAAGCTACCTTTCCTCGACGTCCTCATTCACAAAGTAGACAACAACCTAAGATTTCAAGTTTATCGGAAACCCACCAATAAAAATGATCTCACACACTTCTATTCCAGTCAAATACCAAGACCAAAAGATGCATCATCATCGGTTTTTTCCTAAGAGCATACCGAATTTGTAGTCCTGAGTTTCTTGACGAGGAATGTACATACATTCACCAAACATTCACTGAGTTACATTTTCCTTCTTTTTTCATCAAAGACTGCAAAAAAAGAGCTCTTCAGATCATTAATTCTCCACGCATCAACACCACTCCCAACAAAGTTATAATTCTTCCCAAGAGCCAGGTTGCACCGAACGTCTCAAAAGTACTTTGACAAGCAAACACCAGAGTCGCCATCGCTTCTAGCACTTCAATTAAGGATCTAACCAGGACAAAATCCAAGCACCACGAACCAGTCAATGCAGGAGTTTACACTATACCCTGTGGAGGCTGTGACAAGATTTACGTAGGTGAAACAGCAAGAAACCTCGACACCCGCCTCAATGAACACATTTACGCATGTAGGAACGATAACTTGAACAACGCCTGTGTACAACACCGAAATTCCTCCAATCATCTCATATAATTCAGGGACGCCCAATTAGTGATCAAAAAAACTAATTTACGCAGACGCAAGTGCCTCGAATCAGCACTGATCGCTGTTTCGAATACAATTAAACAAAACAACGGCAGCTTCACCATCTCCGAAGTCTTAGCAAGAATCCTCCTGAAAACAGTAAACCCTGCCATCACATAGTCTCTCCTGTTATACAGCATATTACAGAGAGTGAACACTGAAACAGGCTGCCTTTTTCCAGTCTTTGTTTGACCAACCTATTTTTATGTTACCCAAGTAATAGCTTTTATATCCTTTTACTCATGTACGAATTAATTGCTCTACCATATTGTATTACTTTTGCCACCACTACTACTACTACTACTACTACTACCACTAGTGAACATCGACATGGTACCTCAGTAGTATTGCACCTCACTCTGAGCCTTTATATACCATCTGTGCCCATGTATTGTTTGTAATGGCTTGATAAAGCTCCTGGAGAGCGAAACGTTGCCACAATAAAATGTCACATTAGTTGCACTTGTGTCCTTTTACTTTGCATATTGTCGGTAATTCTATCAACTTTATTACAATGTTTTAAGATGAAGTTTAATGAAGCTCATGGAGCAGGAAGAGAGAGGACATAGTAGCGATCAGTGAAGAGACTGGGCCAGGAGCTATGAATCGACTCCTGCAGCCAGAAATAGGTGAGCAAAAATAGGTGAGTACACACACACAGGTACACACTGGTCTTACCAGTTCTACTGAATGGGTATTCTTATGACAAGACTCTTCGTAGAGATTTTACCCTGAACGAGAACCCTAACAACTGCACCCAGAACACGAGAAAAAGAATCCTACATTTGAGAGGTCTTAGGATTTAAAATGCCATCAAGTTATGCTAATTATTTCCTTCTTGCAGTGGCGATTTATACATTAAAAATGCAATATCACATATCATTGAACTTGTGTATCATCATCTTATTTTTGTGTTCTTCTTCCCAGGGCCAAAGGAGTTGTGGGGTTGTCGCCACACTTTGGCACTAATGGGGTTCCTGGGGAATGCACTGGTATACGCCATGCGGGTCAACGTTTTCATTACTATAGTTGCTATGGTGAAACAAAACAACACTGCAGACTCTCCCAATAACTCCTTCGTCCCTGATAGTGATGGTTGCCCAGTACCTGACGACTACGTTGAGAACGACTCCGGAAACAACGTTAGTCTACCAATGAATGGGGACAGAGATTGTAAAAATTATAGGGGGAAAAGTTTACTGAGTGTACCAGGAAAAGTATACGTTAGGGTTATTATTGAAAGAATTAGAGGTAAGACAGCGGATGAGCAAGGAGGCTTTAGAGTGGGTAAGGGATGTGTAAATCAAGTGTTTACATTGAAGCATATATGTGAACAGTATTCAGATAAAAGTAGGGAAGATTTCATTGCATTTATGGATTTAGAAAAGGCATATGATAGAGTGGATAGGGGAGCAATGTGGCAGAGGTTGCAAGTATATGGAATAGGTAGTAAGTTACTAAATGCTGTAAATAGTTTTTATGAGGATAGTGAGGCTCAGGTTAGGGTGTGTAGAAGAGAGGGAGAATACTTCCCGGTAAAAGTAGGTCTTAGACAGGGATGTGTAATGTCACCATGGTTGTTTAATATATTTATAGATTGGGTCGTAAAAGAAGTAAGTGCTACGGTGTTCGGGAGAGGGGTGGGATTAAATTATGAGGAATCAAATACAAAATGGGAGTTGACACAGTTACGTTTTGCTGATGATACTGTGCTTGAGGGTGATTCTAAAGAAAAGTTGCAAAGGTTAGTGAACGAGTTTGGGAATGTGTGTAAAGGTAAAAAGTTGAAAGTGAACATAGATAAGAGTAAGGTGATGAGGGTATCAAATGATTTAGATAAAGAAAAATTGGATATCAAATTTGAGAGAGGGAGTATGGGAGAGTGAATGTTTTCAGATATTTGAGAGTTGATGTGTCAGCGGATGGGTTTATGAAGGATGAGGTTAACCATAGAATTGATGAGTGATAAAAAGTGAGTGGTGCGTTGAAGTATATGTGGAGACAAAAAACGTTATCAATGGAGGCAAAGAAGGGAATGTATGAAAGTATAGTAGCACCAACACTCTTATATGTGTGTGAAGCTTAGGTGGTAAATGCAGCAGCGAGGAGACGGTTGGAGGCAGTGGAGATGTCCTGTCTAAGGGCAATGTGTGGTGTAAATATTATGCAGAAAATTCGGAGTGTGGAAATTAGGAGAAGGTGTGGAGTTAATAAAAGTAATAGTCAGAGGGCTGAAGAGGGGTTGTTGAGGTGGTTTGATCATTTAGAGAGAATAGATCAAAGTAGAATGACATAGAGAGCGTATAAATCTGTAGGGGAAGGAAATCGGGGTAGGGGTCGTCCTCGAAGAGGTTGGAGGGAGAGGGTAACGGAGGTTTTGTGGGCGTGCATAAGCGTGCATAAGCGTGTTAGATAGGAGTGAATGGAGAAGAATGGTTTTTGGGACCTGAGAAGCTATTGGAGTGTGAGCAGGGTAATATTTAGTGAAGTGATTCAGGGAAACCGGTTATTTTCATATAGCCGGACTTGAGTTCTGGAAATGGGAAGTACAATGTCTGCACTTTAAAGGAGGAGTTTGTGATATTAGCAGTTTGGAGGGATATGTAATAGGACGGTATACATATAATTGGGGCCCCGAAATTATATTCTATATGGAGTTTATTACATTATTTCAGGTCACTTTCTATATTGTATCTTTATATATGTTTCTAAACTGTTGTATCTGGGCACCTCTGCAAAAACAGTGATTAAGTGTGAGTGAGGTGAAAGTGTTGAATGATGATGAAAGTATTTTCGTTTTGGGGATTTTCTTTCTTTTTGAGTCACTCTGCGTCGGTGGGAAACGGCCGACTTGTTGAATATACATACATACATACATACATACATACATACATACATATATATATATATATATATTATATATATATATATATATATATATATATATATATAATATAATATTAATATATATATAATATATATTGGTTGGAGGGAGGGGGTAAAGGAGGTTTTGTGTGCGAGGGGCTTGGACTTCCAGCAGGCATGCGTGAGCGTGTTTGATAGGAGTGAATGGAGACAAATGGTTTTTAATACTTGACGTGCTGTTGGAGTGTGAGCAAAGTTAACATTTATGAAGGATTCAGGGAAACCGGCAGGCCGGACTTGAGTTCTGGAGATGGGAGTACAGTGCCTGCACTCTGAAGGGGGGGTTTGTTAATGTGCAGTTTAAAAACTGTAGTGTAAAGCACCCTCTGGCAAGACAGTGATGAGTGAATGATGGTGAAAGTTTTCTTTTTCGGGCCACCCTGCCTTGGTGGGAATCGGCCAGTGTGATAATAAAAAAAAAAAAATAATAAATATATATATATATATATATATATATATATATATATATATATATATATATATATATATATATATATATATGTATATGTATATATATTATTATATATAACAACACTGCACTTGCCAAGGAGTCGAACCCATGCTATTTTGGCCCGCCTCATGGTAAGAGAAAACGCCTGACACTATAGACCACTAGACCACACAATCCTTAATAATGGTGCATCCAGCCAAGCTAGATGTTGTACCCACCATCGAAGGACCGTATGTCCTTCGATGGTGGTTACATCTTTCTTGGCTTTATTGCGAAAACTTATGCACTGTTGTCTTGGTTTCAGATTACTGATAACCAGAACTCCTAAATCCTTTTTGCAGTCTGTAATATTAAGATCAACATTATTTAGTTTATGTGTGGTATGGTTATTTTCCTGTCCAACATTTAGAACTTTGCATTTGTCTATATTAAACTGCATCTGCCACTTCTACCATTGCATGAGTCTACTCAAATCATCCTGAAGACTTCTAACGTCATCATTAGAATGAATTGAACGGTCTATTTTGGGTCATCAGCAAACTTGCTTATGTAACTATTTATTCCCTTACCTATGATATAAATGGTTTTTAATACTTGACGTGCTGTTGGAGTGTAAGCAAACAAACATTTATGAAGGGATTCAGAGAAACCGGCAGGCCGTACTTGAGTTCTGGAGATGGGAAGTACAGTGCCTGCACTCTGAAGGAGGGGTGTTAATGTTACAGTTTTATAAACTGTAGTGTAAAGCACCCTTCTGGCAAGACAGTGATGGAGTGAATGATGGTGAAAGTTTTTCTTTTTCGGGCCACCCTGCCTTGGTGGGAATCGGCCGAGGTGTTAATATATATATTATTATTTTTTATTATCACACTGGCCGATTCTCACCAAGGCAGGGTGGCCCGAAAAAGAAAAACTTTCACCATCATTCACTCCATCACTGTCTTGCCAGAAGGGTGCTTTACACTACAGTTTTTAAACTGCAACATTAACACCCCTCCTTCAGAGTGCAGGCACTGTACTTCCCATCTCCAGGACTCAAGTCCGGCCTGCCGGTTTCCCTGAACCCCTTCATAAATGTTACTTTGCTCACACTCCAACAGCACGTCAAGTATTAAAAACCATTTGTCTCCATTCACTCCTATCAAACACGCTCATGCATACCTGCTGGAAGTCCAAGCCCCTCGCGCACAAAACCTCCTTTATCCCCTCTCTCCAAACTTTCCTAGGCCGACCCCTACCCCGCCTTCCTTCCACTACAGACTGATACACTCTTGAAGTCATTCTGTTTCGCCCCATTCTCTCTACATGTCCGAACCACCTCAACAACCTTTCCTCAGCCTCGGGACAACAGTTTTGGTAATCCCGCACCTCCTCCTAACTTCCAAACTACGAATTCTCTGCATTATTTTCACACCACACATTGCCCTCAGACATGACATCTCCACTGCCTCCAGCCTTCTCCTCGCTGCAACATTCATCACCCATGCTTCACACCCATATAAGAGCGTTGGTAAAACTATACTCTCATACATTCCCCTCTTTGCCTCCAAGGACAAAGTTCTTTGTCTCCACAGACTCCTAAGTGCACCACTCACTCTTTTTCCCTCATCATTCTATGATTCACCTCACTTCATAGACCCATCTATGATTCACTGCACACTTCATAACCCATCGCTGACACGTCCACTCCCAAATATCTGAATACATTCACCCTCCTCCATACTCTCTCCCTCCAATCTGATATTCAATCTTTCATCACCTAATCTTTTTGTTATCCTCATAACCTTACTCTTTCCTGTATTCACCTTTAATTTTCTTCTTTTGCACACCCTACCAAATTCATCCACCAATCTCTGCAACTTCTCTTCAGAATCTCCCAAGAGCACAGTGTCATCAGCAAAGAGCAGCTGTGACAACTCCCACTTTGGTGTGATTCTTATCTTTTAACTCCACGCCTCTTGTCAAGCCCCTCGCATTTACTTCTCTTACAACCCCATCTATAAATATATTAAACAACCACGGTGACATCACACATCCTTGTCTAAGGCCTACTTTTACTGGGAAATAATTTCCCCCTCTTTCCTACATACTCAAAACTTGAGCCTCACTATCCCCCGTAAAAACTCTTCACTGCTTTCCAGTAACCTACCTCCTACACCATACACTTGCAACATCTGCCACATTACCACCCCTATCCACCCTGTCATACGCCTTTCCAAATCCATAAATGCCACAAAGCCCCTCTTTACCTTATCTAAATACTGTTACTTATATGTTTCACTGTAAACACCTGGCCCACACCCCCCAAAAACCTTCCTGAAGCCTCTTGTTCATCTGCTATCCTATTCTCCGTCTTACTCAAATTCTTTTAATAATAACTCTACCATACACTTTACCAGTATCTCAGCAGACTTATCCCCCTAGAATTTTTGCACTCTCTTTTATCCCCTTTGCCTTTATACAAAGGAACTATGCAATGCTCTCTGCCAATCCCTAGTACCTTACCCTCTTCCATACTTTTATTAAATAATTGCACCAACCACTCCAAAACTATACCCCCAAACCTGCTTTTAACATTTCTATTTTTATCCCATCAATCCCGGCTGGCTTACCCCCTTTCATTTTACCTACTGCCTCACGAACTTCCCCCACACTCACAACTGCTCTTCCTCACTCCTACAAGAGGTCATTCCCCCTTTCCCCTATACACGAAATCACAGCTTCCCTATCTTCATCAACATTTAACAATTCTCAAAATATTCCCTA